GTATTAGCTGTTTGTATTTCAAAAACTATATCGAAGTCATGCATGCGAATTTAAAAGCTCAGGTTTGTAGCACTGGGGTGTCAGGGTTGATAATGTAATGGTTGATTTTGGTAACTAAGGAAATGAAAATATAAGCGCGAAGAAGCTTACACTTAGTCACTAAGTACACAATGAATATGCAGATTGTTTATCAACAGTCAATGCTCGCATACGTCTATGCAAAGATTTCTTTTCAGCTTTTATTATTACGATTTCCTTTTCGAGCAGAGAAACTCAGGCTGGAACGCACCGGGCGGGTCCACACGATCATGCGCTTTTGCACCGGACTTGAATTACTCAGGTCATTAACTGTATGAATGGCTGTTGCTTTAAAACTACCTTTTGCGGTCACTAGCGTAAATCAGCATAATTTTTGCAAAGTAACTGTACAACATCCATTTAACAGTCGTTCTTTAAAAGCAACCTATTTCTTCAGCGAGAAATTTTTTCGCCAAGACTTTTAAGTGGCGGTACCTCAGGGATGAATTTGAAACACTTAAGTTGTATTTGGACAGGGAACATTTCCTCAAAATTTCAGCTTTCCAGCTATTCTGCTTACCGAATTAGCAATTTTCCCGCTAAAACCTTCACACGCCCGTATTTGGGCACTCCACGTGTCTGGAAAGCTGAATTTGAAATTTTAAATTGCGCGTGGACAAGAAACATCCACCTAAAATTTCAGCCTTCCAGTTCTTGTGGTTGCCGAGTTAGTAGTTTTCCTGCAGAACTTTCATACGCCTTTACGTGGTTACCATGCATAGCTCGGGGCTGAATTTGAAATATTTGAGTTGTACTTGAATAGGGAACATTATCTCAAAATTTCAGCTTTCTAACTTTCCTGGTATCCGAGTTAGCAATTTCTCCCCTGAAATTTTCATACACCCTTACGCGAGTACAACGCTTACCTGGGGGCTGAATTTGAAATCTTTAGCTAGTACGTGCACAAAGAATATCTCTACAAAGTTTCAGTCCCTCAGCTTATGTTGTTCCCAGGATCGCTTGCCTGCCAAAAAACTTGCATATTTTTTAAAGCGTCCGTACGCGGCACCCAGGCGTCTGCGGGGATGAAATTAAAACGGGAGGGTCGCGCATGGTATGGGCATATACTCCCACAGTTTCAACCTTCTAGCTTTTCTGGTTCTCGAGTTGAAAGTGGGTGAAAAAAGTGCGAACACACAGAAACAGCCTTTTCCAATATGCTTTTTTGCAATTTACATATGTGCCAAAACGCATAAAAATTAGTGTCAAAATTTGGTTGTGCAAATTCTGAGGGGATTTAGACAGAGGGAAGCATGACATAAAATTTCTACAAAATTATTTGTTCCAGTCGGTAAATTCCCACTTAGCGTCAGTTCAAAGCTGTGTAGGGTAGGCTAACGATGTCTTCCATAAAAGTGTCATTTCGGATGAAACTAACATTTGCTTGACAAATCTAATTTTGTGTCCATATTCTCGCGATGAAAGACAGATGTGTTACTGATCCCTGCAGCTGCGAGATTCTTGTCCTTTGAATGCTAGAGGCCAGATTTTTCAGGCCTGAACTTATCGAGGAAATTACTCACTTTGTAACTTTTCGCCAATCAAATCGCTGCTGCTACGGCCGCTTACACTTTTCCTTGAGCCATCTGATGCGTCATTCGTCCGCTCGGATTTACTCAGTGACTCTGTAACACACTGGTTCACTGTGAAGCAAAGTCCAGTCAGTTTTTAAACTCAGAGGAAAATTTCTTTTCATCTGATTTTAGGACTGATCCACTGAACTGATACAGAATGATTCTTGTACTAGTAGCGCATCCATCACAATGCTTAAGCGTTTTTGTGGTTCGAGTCGCTGAAACGTAAATGGGTGAGCAGGACAAATTCAGCAGGCGGTTGTTTGATCGCGCCAGATTTGGATTTATAAGTTATAATGGGGGCGTATTCACTCCCTTAACTAACTGGAAAAGTGGCCAGGAAAAGAACAGTGAGGAGAAATTTGTCGAAAAAAATGCACTAACCGGCCACTCGCTGCTTGCCGCTGCAGAGGTTGATCAGTGGAGTGAGATACACCGAGCGTATTTCATCAATGTAACTCTTTGTTATCCACTCCTGAAAATGAAACACAGCAAAGGATCGAAACGCAGTATCTTTTCATTCACCCGGCGCCTGGAATCCAACAGCGCATCTCGTGTACTTCGCTTAACTGAATCTGCTGGCGTAATTTGTTTTGTATGTGGAAATAATTTGTATTTTATTTGTATTGTACAAGATTTCGGTGACATTTGTGTGGGAGGAAATGGTTGTGAGCACTCTCGGGTCGTTGCATCCTAAAAATTTTCTTTAATAGGTGACTCTTTTGGCTTTAACATTCAGTTCATGAGAAATTTTCCAACGTAAATGTAAAATGTTGTCTGCAATGGTACAGGAACTACCTGTCTAAATAGGGTTTATTTTCACACAGTGATTGCTAAAAGCTTTCTATATGTTGTGTAGCAGAAAACTGTGTGGCATGCGAGCCAGTAATGATCGGGACGCTGATGAGAGAAACGGCCGCGTAGGACGACCTACCTTATTAACAATAAAACAGTAACAGTAACATCCCTTATTAAAAGGGATCACAAGTACCAACCCAGAATCGGGGGCCTGCGCGTGCCTCCCTATAGATATAACTTCACACAGATATGTGCACTACCTAACACTATAATAAATAGCAACGCGCACCAGACTAGCTGGTGCGATCATGCATTTTGTGCAATTCAGCCCATCGAACGATTGCCTATTAATGATTTTCATTGCTTTGTACTTTAGTCTATACAAAAATAATTCAAACATTGGAAAACAGTTAAAAATTTCGCGCACCAGCGCATGAAAGCTGAATTCGAAACCTTG